TAGATGTGAATTCCCTTTGGGAGAATCTCACCAAAAATGAAATTTTTGTTGCAGGGGATGCTCAAAATTTGACTTGAATCTTAGTGCAGACTTCTGGGAAAATCAAAAAGACAAACACACATGCAGGAAATGACATATTTGTGGGGTGCTCTGTACACCATCTGTGTACAGAAAACCTCCAGGTAGCCATATTGCATTGCATTTTACAGAAAATTACAGTGCTGAAAGACTGAAAAGGAAAAAGTATATACGCTATAACTTTTTTTTTTTAATTGCTATTTTTTTCCGCAAAAGTGGAGTTACCCTTTAACTCAGTTTCTCTGTATCTTATTTCTTTTGATAAAATGTATGTAAACTCTCTTAATAAATAAATATCTGGTAACCCTACCAGGAAGGCCCTTGCCATAGTTTTGCTGTTGTTACCATCAGGAAAGCTCCCTAAGCAATACCATGGAGCTGTTGATAAAGTGAGTGCAGGTATGCAGATAATGGCTGCAGAACAGTATCAGCACTGAGATGCATCAAAGAATAAAAAGAAAGATAAGTATTTTATTTTTAAAAATGCATTTTTTTTATAAACAATGCTTTAGCAAATTAAAGGTCATTCAGTTAGAGTTTACATATACTTTAAAAAATCTAATAAACAGCATAGAGGAAGGGAACAAGGGTCTATATGTTGTGCTAAAGATGAACGCTCACATCCCACTTGCTCCTAATCAGATCTTGCTAGTGAACACAATATCTCTTCCAACAATGTATGAGATTTAACTTCAAATGGAAAGCTTGTTTTGAGCCAGTCTACATGCAAAGGCTTTCTGCACATGTTTAGTCTTACTCTTCTCACCCTCCTGCTCCTCCTGACTTTTGGGGATGCTTTACATAATCCCAGCCCCCTCATATCTAACTTTCACCCTAACATTTGGCACCCTCTTTCTTTCAGTAGGCCTAATCCAAACAACCTAATTCTTATTCCCAGATTCCACAACCAGCTCCCCTTCTAATGTGCCCTCCGGAATACTTGCTCTGTCTGCAACAAGCTCACCTCTGTCCATAACCTTTTGATCTCTAATTTCTTTAACCTACTTTCTGTTACTGAAACCTGGCCTCAGGAAATTGACAATGCCTCTTCTGCTGCCCTGTCCCATTGTGACCTCCATTGGACTCATTCACCCAGACTCAGAGGATGAAAGAGAGGTGGAGTTGGATTAATTCTATCCCCACAAAGCACTTTTAAAGTTCTTTCTACACATCCCTCTCTATCCCTCTCTGCTTTGGAAGCTCACTGTATTTGTTTCTTTTACTTCAGTCTGATAATTTATGTGATTTATTGTCCTCCAGAGCCTGTATCACACTGCCTTGACGACTTCTCTGCTTGGCTACCCTGGCTGCCTGGCTCTTCTTTCCACTGAATTACCCACTATTATCCTTGGTGACTTTAACATCCCTGTTATTAAGACTCAAACTACCTCTCAACAACTCAACCTAACCCCTTGTATTGGCCTACCACAATGGGCACTTCTACTCACTCTGATATCAATAGCCTTGACCTTGTATTCTTCAACCACTATACTTCTTTCAATCTCTCAAACACCCATGTGCCTCTCTCTGACCGCGACCTTATCAATTTATCACTCTTCCTATCGTTAACATCCTAACCCTCTAACCAGCAAACAGTTGCCCATAAAAAACATTGACACTTTAAACTCCTCTTCCCTACTTTGCAAAACACTACCTTTACTACAAGATTTCACCCTATCCTGCTCTTATCTTGCCACTTCTGTCTACAACAGCTCGCTCTCATCCTGTCTGGAAACACTGGCCCACCTCACACAGAATTAAGCCCCAACAACTATAACCATGGCAAACAGACAAGAGCAGATATTGTAAAAGAGGTAGTCCTGCTCTTGATTGACTATGATATAAAATGAAAGACAAGCAAGACTTTACCCTAAAAAAATCTGCCCCCCATAAATTCAGGACCTGTCTCTGTATTGCCAAAAAGTCATTTTATCACTCTCATCAACATTCTCTCATCCAGTCCTTACCAAGTCTTTTTTTACCTTTAAAACTGATTTCCACATTTCCTGTCTCCTGGCTCAAGTGAATCAGCTACGCTGTGTGTTATAGCACACTGTAGTAGTATTAGCTACATACATTACGCAGAGCTATGTTCCAAAGCAGTATGGAGGACTTCCTGCCTGCTTTCAGAACAAAACTGTGTAGGCTTGAAAGCTTCTCAACCATTCAGAATTCTTTTATTTTTATATCAATTAATACAAGGGTTCCATGGATATGGTGAGGTGGAGATTCATGAGTCATCTGCCTACTCTTCCACCTTGGCCAATCACAGGAAGCCTTGTATTCACTGAGAAAACCACTCTAAAGCATGCTCTGGTCAACCCCTTCCTGTCCAAACATTTTACAATCCCTCTCTGTGCTTTTATTCACCTTACTTTCAGACTTCTACAACTAGTCTACAACTGAGAACACCGCCGTACTGTACACAACCTTCTCAACCCCATTCAATCTAGCCTTCACCCACAACACTCTACAGACACTGCCCCCCCCCCCCCCCCCAAACTCACCAATGGCTTGCTAACTGCCAAAACCAATGGCCACTACTCTGTAGTCAAACTTTTATATATTTCTGCTTTCTCTGTCTCAAAGGTAGAACATGACATGTCTGTATAGACCCCTGATGTCTCACCAAAGCCCCCAAATGGGGCTCCTAAAAAAATGTTAAGTTAACAAAAAATAAAATTGTAAAACAAAATATATATATATATATATATATATATATATATATATATAATAGTAAAAAATAATGAAAAAATAAACTAGCAAAAAAAAAAAAAAAAAAATGACACCAGTGGTGGATCTACCAAGGCTACAAAGGTCACACTTGCAACCGTGCCCTGGTATTCCACCACAGTCAGGGGTCCCCATGACAGCAGGAAGGGGCCCACTGCAGAACATGTGAAAGGGTCCTGCTGCGGGTCTGCAATAAAGGGCCCCACAATGACAGTAAAGGGCCCTGGGATCAATGTGAAGAACCAAGGGGGCCCTAATGATATTCTTGCACTGGAGCCCTGAAAGTTCTAGTTGAGCCTATGTCCCAAGACCTCCTGCTTTCTAACCCCTCACCTGTGCTCATCTCCAGGATTTATTTTGCAACAATATCCACAGGGTGAGGGATACTGTAAGTAGGAAGTCAGGCAGATTGTGCAGACGTTTGCACAGAGAACAGAATAAAATATAGTTTATTGTCATAGGATCTCCATAGGCCACCCTTTCTCTGAAAAAAACATCTGTTAGCCTGCCGCTTAACCTATTTTCATAGTGACAGGAAATGTAAGTTCACATAGGTGGGCAAGAGAACAGAAAGGTGGGAGCCTATAATTAATTTGCAGGAATATAGTATGCCAATCCTCATTTATTTTTTTTACATTTTTAAACTGTATTTAAATACTTTTTTTTTTTTTTTACAAATAATTAATATATGACTAATGATTCTCAGAACACTATGGGTAAGTTAAAGAGACAACACAATAGACACTGCATACTTGGACAGAAACCTCTGACTGAGATATGCAGTAAGACATGAGTCAACAACTAGAGTGACTAGAGTGTGGCCTGTAAACAACAAACCTTACACAACAAAGGAACATATGAACCCAACTTTAAAAAAGGAACAATAAATGTCATGTGTTAGTCCTAATGACATGAAATAAAATAAATAATATTAGTTATTCAACAAGGATACATTCCCTTTAAAACACAGTAGTCCTGTGATGAACCATGGTTAGGAAAGTTATTTAAACAGCCGCAAAGGTAACAAATACATCCTACTGTTAGTATGCACTAACTTCTGTTCATCCAGAAAGAAGTGTAACATTTTGAAATAACTATGAACGTTTGAGCCCTATAGGGATTAAATAAGGTAGTGCTTGCTTTAATCCTCACCTTTTCTAATATTCTTTCTTATTATAGCAGTAATTATAATGAAGTGAAGCTCATTATATAAAAAATACAGGCCATGAAAACTGTAGTGTTTCCTCACATTGGTGGTCAGTGGAAATATGCCCTCTTACATATTTGATAGTGGAAAAATGCTACCAGCCAAGCAGTGAAGTGCCCTTTTCATTGGTGGTGAGTGATGTGTCTATTAGATTGATAGTCAGTGGAAAAGGCTCCCTTAGATTGGTGGTAAGTGGAATGAATGCTCCCATCACCCTTACAGGGGCTAAAAAGATCATTGGTATCAGAGGGAACTTATCTGAAAGGCATAGAGTGTTCATTGCTCAAGGAACCCCTAGCAAACTCTGGAGGAACCCTGGTTGATAAAGTCTGTTATAGAGCTACACAGAAGCAGTATCACTCAGTAGTTTAGCAGGAAATATGTGATGACAGTGGCATTGAAGATAGTGCAAGCAAACAATAAATTACTTACCAGAGGTTGACCAGGAACGGATGCTCCAAGCCTTGCATGATCTGCAGTTCTTTAAACACATTTCTCACTTCGTTACGCTCCACACATTTCTGTTTGTTCATGTATTTCATGGCGTACATTTTCTTGGTATCCTTTTTCTGAACAATGCATACCTGGAAATAAAAAGAAAGCTTACTAGCAGCCCAGATTTAAATTACAGGCCAATATAATACGTTTAAGTTGTGGATTAGTGCCTCTGTCACGTTTTAATGCAAAAAGATTGGGGAAAAGAGCACCAGTCCAAGAGTTTTTGTTTAGATTTACCGTATTTTTCGCTCCATAAGACGCACCTGACCATAAGACACACCTAGGTTTTAGAGGAGAAAAACAAGGAAAAAAATATTCTGAACCAATGGACTGCAGACATAGTACAAGAGATGACCAGAGCGGACTGCAGACCAGAGACTGCAGTACAGTACAGAGATGACCAGAGGCTGCGGACACAGTACAGGAGATGACTAGAGACTGCAGACACAGTACAGGAGATGACCAGAGACTGCAGACAGTACAGATGACCAGAGACTGCGGACACAATACAGGAGATGATCAGAGACTGCAGACAGTATAGGAGATGACCAGAGACTGCGGACAGTACAGGAGATGACCAGAGACTGCAGACAGTACAGGGGATGACCAGAGACTGCGGACATAGTACAGGAGACCAGGACTGCAGACACAGTGATGACCAGAGACTGCAGACACAGTACAGAGATGACCAGAGACTGCAGACACAGTACAGCAGAGACTGCAGACAGTACAGAAGATGACCAGAGACTGCAGACAGTACAGGGGATGACCAAGACACTGCAGACAATACAGGGGATGACCAAGAGACTGCAGACAATACAGGGGATGGATGACCAAGAGACTGCAGACAACACAGGGGATGACCAAGAGACTGCAGACAATACAGGGGATGACCAAGACACTGCGGACAGTACAGGGGATGACCAAGACATTGCAGACAATACAAGGGATGACCAAGACACTGCAGACAATACAGGGAATGACCAAGACACTGCAGATAGTACAAGGGATGACCAAGAGACTGCGAACCTTTGGGGTGGGAGGGGGAGCAGGCACCTGAATGTGACAGCTGTCATGTGTCCCAGAAGACGCCGGACCATTCACAAAGCGCAGCACTTCTCACGCATGCGCAGTGGGTACCCCACTGTCACAGCCGGGTGCCCACACTAAAGATGCCGGTGCAGGAAGACTGTACAGTGCTGGACTGAGGAACAGGTCCTGCTGCAGAGACGAGCTGAGCGACCAGCCCGGTATTCTGACACAGTGGTGGTGGCGGAAATACCGAACTGGCTGCTCCATATTCGCTCCATAAGATGCACTGACATTTTCCCCCTTTTTTGACGGGGAAAAAAGTGCGTCTTATGGAGCGAAAAATACTGTATTTTTTTGTCACTGCATTAGATCAAGGGTCTTTAAACTTTTCAGTATGAGGGCCACATATTTTACCAATATTCACAGGCTGAAAAAAAGTTTTAAAAGTAAATGAATAACATTAAATTCAGAACAGAGAAAGAACTTCAGTAAAACCAAGCAGGGAAATTTCAAATAAACAGGATCCATAAAACACAAACAAAAAACAAAAATAAATTTAGTCTGCACCTTTCTTAACAGTCCCCTTTACAACAGGGTCTCCCTCAGAGGCTCCTCTTACATCAGAGTTCCCATCACAATCCCCCTTACATCAGGGACCCGTCAAATTTACCCCCTTACATCGGGGTCCAAATTAGAGTCTCCCATACATCAAGATTCCCATCAGAGTCCCATCCTTCATCAAAGTCCCTTATATCAGGGCCCCCAACAGAGTCCTGCCTTACATCTTGGCCCCCGTCAGAGTCCCTCTCTACCACCTGGTCCCCATCAGATTCCCCCTTTACATCTGGGTCCACATCAGAATCCACCCTTACCTTACACTTACAGCATGGCTTTAGCAGATGGGCAAGAGCCCACTTTATCTATCGCAAAGAGAAAATGAATAGCCTGTGTTTTGCTTTGAGCTTCAACAGATAAGAGATGGCTGGTTGCTATAAGGAAATGGCAGTGATGATGGGCAAGAATATTTGCATTGCTTTCTGAACAGTAAATAAACCGAATAGTATCTAGAACAGTGAGCAGAAATTATACATTTATCTTTTATTAGTGCTGTGTTTTCGCCTTGTGCTTTCTCTCATCAGTAATGTAAGCCTAATGACAGGTTTTCTCAGTGTAAACAGATCTGTGTCCAGTAGCTTCAATGTAAAAGAACTTTCCTATTACCTTAACGTAAAGTGTATCCAAATATAAAATTCTTCTTAGTTTCTGAATAGGGAGGGGTCCTGCTTTGAGTCCCTTTTGGGTTTTTGATGTCTGTGCCCCCACTCTAAAGAAGACCCTATTAAACACTTTCTAACAATTCTTTTTTTTCCTCTTAACTTCAAGACCTGGATTTAGGAAATCAAAAAAGCAGCAACAGGCTGGTGCCACTGAGGCAATTTCTTCCTCCACTGAATGAGTCCAACTTTCCCTCACTTACAGGTACTTCATGCAGGAACTTGGATGTTGCTTTGTGTCCACAGAGGTCTTGCACATAGGAGTTTACTTTTGACTTTCAAGATAATATATTCCAGTTTCAACAAACAGCAAAATCCATATGGTCTGTCATAAGAGGCACATAAATACAACAGTGCCACATACATTTGTGAAGTTGCAGTTTGTGGAGCATGGAGAAGAGAAGCAGCAGCAAAGACTTGTCTGAAAATTTGAGAACAAAAATTATGTACAAGCATGGACAATCTCAAGGTTACAAGTTCATCTCCACAGATCCTAATGTTCCTGTGCGCAACATTGTCAATAAGTCTACAGCCTATGGCACTGTAGCTAATCTCCCTGGACGTGGACGGAAGAGAAAAATTGATCAAAGATTGCAATGAAGGATTATTCGAATGGTGGATAAAGAACCTAGATCAACTACCAGACAAATTCAAGCTGACCTTCAGGCACATGGTAAAACTCTGTCAGCTTGCACTATATGTTGCCATCTGAATGCAAAGGGACGATATGGTAGAAGACCAAGAAGGACCCCATTGCTGACACAGAAACAAAGAAGCCAGATTGGAGTTTGTCAAAACCTACCCGAGGAAGCCAAAATCCTTTTGGAAGAATGTGCTGTGGACAGACGAAACAAAAGTACAACTTTTTGGTAAAGCCCATCATTCTACTTTAGGCCATTAAAGAAAAGAATGCAGTCCCTACAGTCAGATATGCTGGAGGTTGACTGATGTTTTGGGGTTGCTTTGCTACTTCAGGCACTGGTGCATTGCATTATGAAATCTGACAGATATGGTTTAAGACAGACTGCAGGAGAGTACTGAACTGGCCAGCAATGAGTCCAGATGTCAGTCCCATAGAGCATCTGTGCAGAGATCTCAAAACAGCAGATGGGAAAAGGAACCCTTCAAATCTGAGAAACCTGAAGAAGTTGGCAAAGAAGAGTGGTCCAAAATTCTAGTAGAGAGGTGTAAGAAACTGATGGTTACAGGAAGCAGTTGATTTCAGTTAATTTTTCCAAGGGGTGTGCTATCAAATATTAAATTGAGGGTGGCAATAATTTTGTCCAATCCATTTTTGGGCTTTTACATGGAATGTGTAAAATTTGGCTTTTTGTTTCTCCATTTTTTTTTGTGTCATACCAATACAAACCAAAGAAATAAACACGAGAATGCCTAAATATTTATTTATCGACATAGTCCCCCTTTTTTAACATACTCCCCTGCTACATTTATACACCTATCCCAGCATTTAACTAATGCCTGGATAGCTTTGGTATAGAAAGATTTCTCAGTACACCTGAACCATCCTAGGACAGCCTGCTTCACTTTGTTCCCACAGAAAGCTTTGTCTCTTCTGCAATTTCACAATAGGTTATAGATTAATTATCCAGAATCAGGCGTTCCATGAGCTGAATGTCCAAAGGAATGGCTGCGGTGGGCTGGGAACCCACTGGTGTACGTACGGCCATTTTTGAAATGTTTACACCATTCAAATGTCTTCCTGCGGCTGAGCGTCAAATCACCATACTGTGCTTGAAGTTTTCTGTACATATCCACGGTTTTTTACGCTTTCATTCACAAGAAACTTCATCACCACACGCTGTTTCATGCATGCGCTAACTCGGTTGTCTGCTATCTTGAATAACGGTCTCTGGACTGGCCGTGACATGTGCGCCGCCTATCTTGCCACTTACTACTGCGTGCAGTACCGCCACGCTAGCAACCCTTTTTATACCTGGAAAATTAAAGGTCCTGGTTTGACTTGAGCACCCCTTGTACATACACAAAGATATTTTGCCTTTCATTTCTATTTTAAATTGAATAGGTTCTTTTACAAGGTGAGAGTTAACATATACTGTATTTTAATTGAGACATTCAAGAGCATAGGGGTTTGCACTACGGAGTTAGTGGCAGCATTCAAATACTTCTGTGGCTCTTATCTGCAGGAACTGCTTATATGTTAATACCAGAAGGACTATAAATGTGCCCTGGTTAGTGAATGGCTGTCACTGCCACTCTCTGCTCTCACAAAGGACAAGCCATTGGCTCCAGTTGCCTTCAGTCAAATTCTGCAAGCAGTGAAAAGAGGCCAAGCTGTGATGTGTGTGTGTGTGTCAATAGATGCACACTGCCAGGCGCGCAGCTGCCCTCATAGCAAGTGCTTGATATGGGAGCGGACACAGAAGAGGAGGAGCAAAGATCTTCAGCTAGAAGGTTCGGGGCTGCTTTGTACGATACCATTACATTATTATTTTAATAAAAAAAATGATTTCAATTTAAAAGTGTTTTAAGAAGTAGAATAAAAATAATGTTTACAATGTGTTCTATTCTGTAACAAGCTGTAATTGTGAAATGAAAAACTAATTTCCACTATAGCATACACTTATTATAAATAGCTCAATAAATTCTTGAAAAAAAAAAAAAAGTTGAATGAGCTTACAAATGGATGAATTGACATGCCTGGTCAGTACAAGAATAAATTTTATGACCGAAAGTTTGTAGACACCTGACCACATTTCCAATGTAGGGTGCTACAGCATACAAAGACATTTTAGACATTTGTGTGTTTCTATCCCTCAGGTGAGAGTTTGGGGAAGGTCCTTTAGTAGTTCTCCTGTGCACAAAGCCAGGTCCATAAAACATAGTTTTATGAATGTGGCATGGAGGAACCTAAGTGGCCTTTCTTCAGCGTTTTTTTTTTTTGTTTTACATGTTTGTGCTTCCAAATATGCATACCTGTTCCTACTACGAAGGCAAACATTTAAAAATCTGTAATATACTTTAAAGCATAATTAACCATTTCAATACTGGATACTTTCACCCCCTTCCTGCTCACACCAATTGTCAGCTTTCAGCACTGTCACACTTTGAATGACAATGGGGCGGTCACATGCAACACTGTACCCAAATTACAATTGTATCATTTTTTTCACACAAATAGAGCTTTCTTTTGGTGGTATTTAATCACCACTCGTTTTTTTTTTTTTGCTAAATAAACAAAAGAAATTCAGAAAAAAAAAGCGTTTCTTTGTTTCTTTTATAATATTTGGAAAGTAATCTTTCTTCATAAATTTAGGTCAAAATGTATACTTCCACATTTCTTTGGTGAAAATGACCCAACTTATTGTATATTATTTAGTCTGAAGGAGTCCACAAACTATGGTATATACAGTATATCTGAAAATCGATTAATCCTGCTGTACTGATGGCCTATCTCTCATCTTTAGGCACAAAAATGCCGGGACAGGACAAATATTCCCCAAATGACTCCTTTTTGGAAAGCAGACAGTCCAGGGTATTTAGTAAGAGGCATAGCAAGTTTTTTTGAAGTTGTAGGTGCCAGAAGTGCATGTTAATCTGACAAGCCAACTGTTGGATGTCAGATGAAAGTGATCCGGTGGCTTTGCTGCTGTCACATCCCTTGTACACACCCTGGCAACAGACTAGATTCCCCCCCACCCCTGTACGCATGCGTATTGCCCAAATGCACAACCAAGACCAGCATGGAGGGTGCCACCAGGGAAAGGGGAAGGAGAATAAACATCCATTCACTTATCCAGACTTCATGTTATTGGCTCAAAATCGACATGTAAAAGTCCCCATATAATTTTCCACAGTCAGTATGGCTGGGGAAGAAACCTATGCAAT